TCATCCAGTTAATACGAGCTCGTTGTTTCCAGAAAACCTTTTCTTGATGGTGTTTAGAAAATAGCAAAGCCTGTTTAAATGACTAGCTTTCCCTATTAATATCAGAGGGATCAGATTCATATAGATTTTCAGCTTTGCTAACTTCCTCTTCCAGCTTAGAAATATACTTAAAAATATTACCAAAAGTATTCTTATTCCACTCCTTGAGAAACTTTTTAAGATACTGTAATTTATCATACAAACCTCTCATTCCACCCCCTGTATTGCATGATTGCCAAGCATTCTGAACAACATCCATAAACTGTGGATTGGAGATCCACATGTTTTGGAATCTGAAAGGCTTAGGCCCCCTAAGAGATTGATTTTTGAATTGAACCAGGATGGGAGCATGATGTGAGGAGGCCTTGCTCAAGTGATTGAGCTGAATGGAATAAAAAATGTCCAGAAAGGGAGAGTTAAACAGTACTCTATCCAACCTGCGCCAGAGTCTACCCTTACTTCTAATACCAGACCAAGTGAAAGGGCTACCATGGAAGGGAAGGTCCAGTAGCTCACATTTCTCAATACATTCTTTAAACTCATTCATACTAATCAAAGGAGGCATAGCTAGACCTTTGTGTTCACTATAATAGGCAATAGCGTTGAAGTCACCACTCACCATCCATACCTCCTTATTAGAACTGGCCCATCTTTCGAGAAAGGACCAAAGAGGCCTTCTTTGAATGTAAGATTGATTCCAATAAATTGCGCTTTGTTCCCGTTGAATAGTGTATCAAAGTAAGACGTCCACCTTTCTTTTATCTCCCCATCCTCCATTATATTAGTACTCTTTGATCGACATCCTTCGCACACTTAACTTTTCTTATATCTTAAGTTCTACGGTCACGAAGACGAGCAAGTCTGTAAATATCTTTTTCTCCTTCCTTAGAGTCCAATTGTGCATACAATTCCTTGTACAATTTTCCTCTTGCTTCCTTTACAACTTTCTTTGCTCTTCTTCTAGCCTCCTTGTACTCCTCTATGTTCTCGTCGCTCCAACTTTTGCCCAATTTCTTATAGCATTGCCTTTTGAGTGTAATATTGAGTGTAATTCCCTAGCTAGGAGTAACGAGTATGACTTTAGAAGTTGTGCATTCTAGAAAAGTTCTAATTTGGACTTATGAACACTAAACTAAAGTTATATGAGTAGGCTTAGTTAAATACTTGCCTATTTGATGAAATTGTTATGTGCTAGAATATTAGAATAAGAATATTATTGAGAAAACTATCAAATAAGCCCCTGTACTATACCGAAAAAATCAATTAGGCCCTCGTACTTTACAAACACTCAATTAAGTCCTCGAACTATTAAAAAACGTTCAATTAAGCCCTTTCGGTCAGTAAGTAACCGGTTTTCCGGTTAAATGTAACCCGTTTCCCGACAGCCGCCGTTGCTGGGGTTCGAGCACGTCGTCGCCGCCGTCGCCGTTTAACCGGGAAACCGATTACTTACCGACCAAAAGGACTTAATTGAACGTTTTTTAATAGTTCGAGGGCTTAATTGAGTGTTTGTAAAGTACGAGGGCCTAATCGACTTTTTCGGCATAGTACGGGGACTTATTTGATAGTTTTCCCAATATTATTCTACTAGAGTGTAGAATAGGAACCTACCGATACTCCAAATTTTGAGTACAACGGGGGTGGATACTAAGTGACCGTACATTTGGATTTAATTGCTCCATGCACGAGTTGGAAAACGACGTCGTGGTTTTGAGTTATGACTTTGGGCCGATGGTGATGGGGTCTTAGCAACCTTGTCAGGATAGACAAGCCGAGCGGACAAGTCGACTTCTCAGGTATTTTAAATTCTGACTATGACTTGTGCCGATGGTGTTGGGGTCTTAGCAACCTCGTCAGGATGGACAAGCCGAGCGGATTAGTCATTTTCCGGGAATGTGCATGTCCTTACTCAACCGGTCAATAAGTCCCTATTACGTTTTGCCGTGCTAGGCATATTGATGCGGTAGAGTCGGATGTTGTTATGTGAAATATTTTTCCTATAAATACAACTAGCATAAACACCGAGTGTTTTACATAGTTATCTTGAATAGGCTATGTGGTTGATTGTTACATGACTTAAGATATTACTATAAAACATTTTTTACAAAACCCTTCTGGTGAGATACGGTGTATACTAAGTAGGAGGATCTTGGCAGTATCACAAGACATCTTGAGTCCTATCTCTTCTTTGGATCCGCCCGAGACTCTATTGGGTTCGTATAGCTTGGGAATCATATTTTATTTTATTAGTTGCTCATGAGACTAATTCTTCATCATAAAATTCTAATTTGGGCCTGCATGCTTGTATGTCATTTAATTCTATCAAACTGTTACCCAATTACTTTCCTGTTGTATTATGAAGCATTTGCTCAATAAATTATCCTTATCTTCATATGGAATTACTTAGTGTGATGATATTAAATGCCTTGCACGATCTGACGAGAGGACTAAGAAGGGTATTCTTATAGGGTTGTGCGGCGGTTGTTGACGATGTCGGTCGGTATGGGGCGTGACATAAAGAACAGAGGATAATATTTAAATTTGGTGAGCATTCAAAGGAAGGCGTTGTAAAATGTTTAGAAATGACAAATTTGGATTTTTTATCATTTTAATCATATCACGAACACAGTTTCATCCTTGTAATACAGGATGAACATATGACTCATTTTATCATTGCAAACACAGTTGTAGAAACATACATGAGATGATTCAATAACGTAACAAACCTAACTAGTTTAAATATTATACTAATTTTTTCCCTAAAATATTACTCCCTTCGTCCCAAAATAAATGCTTGTTTGCTTTAACACAAGTTTTAAGAAAGTGGTTGAAAAAGTAAAAGTTGTGGTTGAGATTTAATTAGAAAAATGTGAATTGATATGAGCCACACATTTTTGTCAAAAGAAGAAACAAGACAATTATTATATATTGGGACGGACAAAAAAGGAAAGCAGGAAAGTTATTTCAGGACTGAGGGAGTACTAATAAAAAAGTGATGGACAAAAATGTTACTTGGTCACTTTTAGTGACTATAATTGTGTTCAAAGTTTACATCATAGTAAACTACATCATATTAACTTTGAATACAATTATAGTCTCTAAATTTACCAAGTCACATCTTTGTCCATCACTTTTCCATGAGTAGTATTAGTGAAATTTTATCTATTATTAAATAGGCGCTTGATGAATTCTATCAATATATCAACCATATTTATTAATGAAAAGGAGAAAATCAAAACAATATATTCAGAAATCACTATATAACATAATATATTTCTCTTCATATATATACATATTTCCTGCTACATAATATTTCCATTATACCATCACAATTCACAACATTAATGATCGATATTATATTTTTTTAATTTGTAAGCATAAGCTTTTGCTAGGTACATTTTTCTTGAAGCAGTCCCAATTCACAATAATACGACATACTAATATAACATAAAATAAAATGGAGTCTTGTATTATTGTGTGACTTGACACAATAATACGACATACTAATATAACATAAAATAAAATGGAGTCTTGTATTCAACCCCCATTGGCGGTTCTCTTAAATACTTGAGGATGTTCAACGTATGATCTTGTCCAATTTCCGTCAAAGGTTCGCGTAAATATACGAGGTTGTCCTGCGGGAAATGTTTCTTTCCAATTCGGGTGTTCAATAAAATAAGCACATTCGCTGAGAGGAGGAAGGATAAAGTTTTAATGTTATGTACTATCTAAATGATAATAAAGCAAATAGATAAGTTATCAGCTATCCCCTATATATAAGTAATTAATACGAAGTATACTGTTAATAAGCTACTCTGTATATATTAGCCATGCGTTCATACACAATTTTATTAGTTACCAACTAGGTTATTAGCTTTTATTTCCAACAAAACCTATTAATCGTCCATTTGAAACTAATAAGAACAATTTGTAGTTAGATTATGTATGCATGAACCTTAGTATAATTGTCGCATAACATTACTCAAACATAAACATGCATTTTTCTTTTGGGAACTAAGCTAGAAATCGTCACATATCATATCATTGATTAAAAGTTAAACATGCATGTAATTACCTTCTTATCCGCCGCGCAAGGATAGAATTGAGCTTCTCGTCATTAATTGGAGTAGTGAAGTATCCCTTAGTTATTTCTTTATCTGGTAGTTTATACAATGCTTCACGATCTTTCACAAAAGCCATGTCCCTAAACGTAACGTGCGTGCAAGAAAAGGTGTCAATCCTACTGGCCGGTAGACACATATAATTTGGATCAAAAGAGAACATTTGAATAAACCCAGAGCGTTACATTTGAGAATTGCGCCTTACCAGTTACCATGAACAAAAAATTGTACAACGAACTATATAATCAACAAAAAAAGATTTATATATGGCTCTTTCATGTCACAAATATATGAAGCTAAAATATGTCATGTATGCTTGGTATATTAAATAAACTAGGTAGAAAATACATAGTTTTTGATTTTACCAATGACATGGAGCAATAACGAATTTATCGGATATAGTTTCATATGTCTCTAGCAATCTCATATCTTTCCCATACGGGGCGTTTAGTCGAGCTTTTCTAACGGTTGCATCTGGATATGTTGTTATATCAAAGGTTGCGGGAAATATTGATCCAGTTGCATGAAGAGTTTTTAAACGGTTTCTGTAGAATTTTCAAAACCGAGAGACACTCTTTCCTGATTGTTTCCATGTTTCATTAGAAACTTTTGTTAAATTTTGATTACATACTTTAATATACACTAGTATAAGAAATAATTGTGTTAGCAAATTAAATTAGATCACGTGAGTGCACACATATACAGTATAGTACACGAATATAATGAAGGTGTATACTACCTCCGTTCTCTTTTAGTTGCAACGTTGAACTTTTTGCACTATTCACATATTTTACTTTGACTATATTTATTTATTAATGTATTATAAAAAAACAAAATATT